AAAAAAAAAAAAAAAAAAGATTGGTAGGCTGTATTCAGCAGGCTGCTTGCTTCAGAGGCTGATGAATCTAAGATCAGAAGGTAAGATGGCTCATGGATTGCAAAGGCAATAATTCCAAGATCTGCAGGCAATACGGCAGGTTACTCATTCAGTTCCAAGAACCAGAGGTTGGATGATGACAAGCCAGATTCAGGATTTAGATTTGAGCAAAAAAGCGGAGAACTTTGCCAGAATGTTTCCATATATATTAGAAGCAGGCCACATCTCAAAGGAAACTTCCTTTCAACCATAAACTGCTCACAGCAGATCTCATCATTGATGTGATTACATTATATCAGATCTCATCATGGGGGATGTGGAAGTTAGGTTTCTGTGTCAACTTGGCTAGGCCTGGTTGAGTGGCTGGGCAGCTGGATGTAGTATTCCCCATGATGAGACTGGCAATCAACTCCATGGTGGAATCTACTGTGAGCAGCTGAGTAGCTGCCTTTGGGTACGTTGTCTGCTTCCTGTATAAAAGCAGGAGCTTTGGGAATGGTCTCTAGCCTATGGCATGCTTGGACCCTGCATGTAGCCATGTCATTGCTCAGCAGCCTGCTATGCTCTGCTGACCTTGGGACTTACAATGGACTTAAGTCAATGGCCTGCCGTGTGGTAACATCAGGACTGTGTCTTTTTACTTGTCAACCTTGGGGTTTCTCAGCCTCAGCAGCCAGCAGCTGTCTGAGTGAAGAAATGCCTCTAGCTCCAGTGGGCTGGGAGTAGGAGGCAGAGCTGGACCCCAAGGTTAAGAGGCTTTCACCCAGCCCCTAAAGCCCGGTGCTTTGAACTTGGACTTAAAGCCTCCAAAATGTAAGAATAAACTCCTGTTTGTTACAGCCATCCCATTTGTGGTATATTCTTGTCAAAGCAGCACTAGGTAACCAGAACAGGGGATGACTACATCATAACTGCTAAACCACTCAGAATCATGGCCTAGCCAAGTTGGCACACAACTTCAACTACCATAACTCCTTTTATTTTTGACAACAGTTGAGTATTTGAGACTGTATGGGTCACACAGTTGAAAATAATTTTCTTCTGGCCTTTATAGCAAAACTTTGCCAACCCTAACATACTACACCAAAACACTGTTCCACATCCTACTTTGGCAAGTAGCCACTGGGATCTTAAAAGCTTGCAAGCAGCCATCTAAATGCAATGATAGGTCTCTCCTCATCCAGAGCAAAGAAGAATGAAGAAAACCAAAGATGCATGGAAACAATTAGTCCAAGCGACTGGTACACCATGCAATCCTCAGCCTATACGACTGTGAAACCAGAACTAGATGGTACCTGGCTACCACTGTCAATCACTGGGCGGGGGATCTATGTAGGCTAGATCCTGGATAGAATGGGAAAACAACGTGCAATAAAACTCAAAATCATAAAAAAAAAAAAAAAGTAGGGGGGAGGACCAGGTTTGCTGGTCTGATAGATCCTGATGGAACCACTAAGACTATGGCCCCTAGCTACCCTCCAGGTCTGGAATTCAACCCACTCCTGTGGCTTCCAGCCAAACAAAAGACAGGCATATGAGCTGAACATTTATAGTAGGTAGATATACTCCTTGGAGAGATCAATTGTGGGAGAAAAGAAGGGCTGTTTACACACAGGGAGACAGCTCATGGGGCAGGAATGCTTGGGAGGGAAAGACAAAGGAACAGATAACTATGGGGAGGAAGTGGGAGGGGAGATGTTGCATTGTGGGAAATTATAGTCAATGTCATGAGACAAAGTATATGTGAGCTGCTATATGGAAAATGAAACTGCTCTTTAAACTTTCACCCAAATCACAATAAAAATTGAAAAAAAAAAAAAAAAAAAAGTCTGCCAAACCCTAGTTTATGACCTTACTTAGCTTTGCAAAGAGAAACAAACAAACAAATAAACCACTATTCCCCTGTCATAAATAGTATTCCCTATATAGGCAGTCCCCAGGTTATACATGCCTAATTTATAAACAATTCCTTCTTGCTCTTTAAACTGGTTCTATAATGGCAGACAAAGTAAAATAGGAACATACACAAAGTTTTATGATTTGGCAGACTGAGCATGGTACTTGGAATGGGAAAAATTACCATCGAAGTCCTGGAATGGGAGACTTGGAACAAACATAATGAGCCCTTTTAGGAGACCGATGCATAACACAGGATTACTGGTAGGACTGAAGGAGAGCAACACATGTCCACCACATTTGAGCAGGGTACTGCCATGTTTGAGCAAGACATCACCATCTTTGAGGGGGCACCACCATATCTGAGCGGAGAAGCATTGCTTTGGACTGCACTCAAAATTCAAGGACAAGAGATTTGGTTGCTATGCAATGTGTATGCTGCCCTTTTTCTATAAGAGGAAGATTAAGTTTCTAGCAAAGTTCTGACCTGTAATTTTTCCTTTTCCAGTTCACTATAAACCTGAAAATTCAGGTGTATTCCATGACGTTTCCTTGGCCTTGACTGAACAAGGCAAAACCAGTTCAAAGTCCTGACAAATTCTGAAGGACAGAGTTAGGAACAGATCTTATTCGTAACATAGAGACAGCCAGAATTAAACTTTGAAAAATGTCATTGGTTTCTAAATGTATAATTAGCCAAGAATAAACTATTGACAATACTAAATACAAAACCAATAGTAAATCCTAAGGCTGCCCTTCTGAGGTGGTACATAGCTAATTTTAATAAATAAACAATAGCCGATTTTCAATCATAATGAGTCGACAAGCTACCAAAACAAACTTACAATCTTCAACTCAAAACCACTGACCACTACAAAATCTGTTTAAATAAGAATACTTATTGTTTTATCATTCTTTCCTCTGAGACATCTAAGTGTAGAGTATTTGCAGAGAGATAGCTTTGCACAAGATGATGATGCCCATTTCTAGCAGAAGAGAGAATAAGAAAGCAAAAGCTGAGCAGCGTTCACCCTCCTCCTGAATTAGATCTTATAATATGGCTTTAATATTTTACTGTGTATTACAAATTCAATACAAATGCCAAAACAACTATAAAGGATTATTGGAGTGTTGAACCATTTCATCAGCCTCAAGTTCACTGGTACAAACTGTTGTCTATATTAAAGGAACCATACAACCAACATGAAACTTTACCTCTGCAATCTTTTCTGATAGGGGTATGTTGTGCATATCCATTTCAGATGCCTTTACTATGGCTTTGGTTTTTAAGAGATAGCTAGGTACAAAATAAAAAGAGAAAATGTCAGTTCCATACTTTAGTTGTCATTGAAACCAACTTACCCTCTAAGTAAGGAATCTGTCAAGCAAAGCCTGCCTTCTTATTGATTTCTACTTCACAACTCATATTTTGTTGGAAAAACAAATTCTAAATTGACATGATGCAAAGACAATCCAACCTTTTAGAGACACTGTACCTCATTCTACCCTTCCCAACCAAGAATACATAAAGCAAAATTATCCCAGAGCAAAGTAAAGAGAAAACCTGGATCTCATGAATGGTTATGATGGGGTAGGTTTCTCACTCCCTCTGTAGATTCTGTAGTACAGGTAGAAGAAAAGTAATCATGTTGTGGCAAATGATGTCATTGCCTGCCTACCTAGTAGTCACTCTTACTTCTTTCTTGCTAATAGAATCTAGATTTTGTTTAGGGTAGCAATGTGCCCAGTCCTAAGAGATGAATCACGATGGGTCTAAACCATTTGTGGCAATTTCCTACTGTCACATATTTGCTTTCCCAGCTTCAAGTGACCATGTGACATAATTCTCAAGAGTAAGGAAAATTTTGCCGATAAAAGGAGAATTTTCCCTGTCCTCCTTTGCTCTCCAAATTCTTTCTTGTTGACAATATATTGTCCACAGATGTAATGCTTATAATTATAGTAACCATCCTGCAATCAGGAGGAAAAGGCAAGAGAACCACAGAGATGCTAACCCAGAGCCCTGTCATTTTTCAGCCACTAGATGTGGTATAGTAAATTACTTAGTGTGGCTTTTCTACCCATAAGTCTTTGTAAACTCCAAGGTGGGATTTGCTATGAGCAACTGAGGAGCTCCTGATTGCTAAAGTTGTCCACCTGGAGTATTTCTGTTGGGAGTGGCACAAAACAATGTTCTGGAAGGTTCCTACTCTCTCTCAGGTGCTTAGAGTTCTGATGCCATGATTGGCTAGTTTGACCACTCTGCGGGGCTCAAAAGGAGGCCTCCTAGAGGCAGAACTCTCTCTGACTGCTGGTTGAGGAAGGCATGCTGCCGAAAGAGACAATGCGCTCCTGAACGAGACACATACTGCTGGGAGAGAGACGCAAGAGACACGCATTGCTGAGACACTGAGGGACATGCACTGCTGAGGGAGAGACTGTGAGAGACTTGGCTGAGAGACGGTGGGCTGGGAGAGAGACTGAGCGTTTTTTTTTTTTTTTTCTGAACTTGAATTGTAGCCTGGTGCTTCCCTAACAAACCCCATAATCTGTGAGTTCTGTGTGGCCACTGCAGCAAATTATCGAACCCAGGAGAGAGGTGGTGGGTGTTTTGGGAGGAACGGCTGGAGAAAGGGCTAGAGGGAGGCAGCATGTCTGGCCTGGCAGGAATAGGCCTTGGACTATTGATGGTGATTCTGTCTTCCTATTGTGGGATTAGAATAGGTCAGAACATGTGGCCTCCTTGCCCTTTTTGCACTAGAAGACTCCTAGAGTTGCCAGCTACCCCTTACTTGTCAACACACATTAGTTTGGTTTACTGTTACTAGCTACCACATTCATTCTAAATGATACACACAGACATAGATTTATTATCTTCCCAGACTCATGTTACCTTTACTTTCCCAGTTTCTATTAAAACAAAAAGAATGTACTGACTTTTGTGACTAACTCCTCATTTTAAAGATTAAGAAGTTACTCAAAATCCCATAAGTATTCAAATTTATATTTGAAAAAATTTGTTACTAAAAGCTACTTCCCTAAGTAAACCTCAATTATAGTTTTGCTGGGGCATTTACATATACCTGGCTCTAAAATAAGATTTCAGGATATTAATAGCACATTCCGTACTGATACTGCCTCGGAAACCCAAGGAGGGGTCGCTATGAGTCGGGTCCGACTCGATGGCACATAACAACAACAACAACAACATAACAACAATAGCACATACTTAGCAATACTTCTTTTTCTGTTTTAGAAATTCTCAATAGAGAACAACTGGTATCCCTAATGCACGCTGAATAACTTCACTGTAAAGGATGGGCTTTATTTATAAGTTTTTCTTGTTTAGTCAACCATAACTCAGCTAGAAACACCCATTTAATATATTAAACGAGAAAAAGGAAGACTTTATGCTTTATGAAAGAAAAGTACAATTTGGAGGTTAAGATACAGATTCAAATCTCAACACTTCCACTTCTCTGAGTTCCAGTTTTCTTATATTAAGATCTAAGTGAGAGAAGCATCATGCCTGGCATAAACTAGGTTATCAATGACTGGTTATTATTATTTTTTTAATGGCCAATAAGACTTTAATGGAGCTCCGGTAGCATAGTGGCTAAAACACTTGACTGCTAACCAGAAGGCTGGCGGTTCAAACCCACCAGCCACTCCTCGGAAGGAAGGTTGGGCAATCCTACTTCCATAGTGATACTGCCTCGGAAACCCAAGGAGGGGTCGCTATGAGTCGGGGCCGACTCGACGGCACATAACAACAACAACAAGACTTTAATGGCTGTTTTAGCTTGTTATAATAAACAAAACAGCTTAAGTTAAAATAATTTTTTAGGAAACTACAGAACTATCATATGTAATTTATGAAAAGGAACAACCAGTGGATTAGTTTTTCTGATTCTGGAAGCAACATGGTCATTATCTTCTAACTTTCTCTGTGTTTCTTCTTCATTTTTCTTTTTCTGCAAAGATTTCTCTGCATCTACAGGCATAAAGTAAAAGATAGGTACCCGAAATCTATAGCTTTCATTTCCCAACTTCAGTACCAGTATTATCTACCAAATAACCAGTATCTTTGGGTCCTTAATACAAATTCCTAGGAGAGAAAACCTGATTGGCTTAGCTTGTGTCTGATGCCCACTCTTGATCCCACCATGTGAGTTGGTACATGGGAGACAAGGGCTAGAAACCCCAAAAGGGTCTACTACAAATTATTTTGCAAAATTTCACCCTCCAGAGTTTCTTAATGAAAAAATACCCTTTGAATTATTCTGTTGATTCTACAGGACAAAAATAATTATAATGTTATTATGAGATAATAATTTGGTCCCATTGCTATCTTCTTTGGGAAAGATAGTACCTGGCTTTAGCATCTTCTTTGGTACAAACACCACCTTTTCTGGAAGGCTGTTTAAAATTTGTTTCATAAAGAATATGTAAGTCTACTCACCATATCATTTTGTCACTGGAAAGGCAAAAGTGACCTCTCAAGGCAGCCAAAGCAGCATGGGTAGAATACAGATGGAAACCAATGGGAATCCCACAGGAATTACAGAATAGAAGGTTATAAATGCTAGAAGGGGAGAGAAAAAAAAAAAAAAAAAAAAAAAACACAGACGATGGATAAGAAAGGAAATCGAACAAATAAAAAATAACTAGTCTCTAGACATACTCCTATCACCTAAGACACAGGTAAAAAATATATTACAATGGGAATGATACTGAAGAAATGTTATATGCAAGAAAGGTGAACTCAGATTTTAATATAATTACACCTCAGATTACAGATACCATTAAGGATTCTGGCCACAAAAGCAATCATGGTTGTGCAGTTATCACTGTGATAAAGTAACCCCTGAAAAGCAAAGAGTTAAGGAATCAGACTAATGTTTAAAAAATGTAAACCTACAAATCACCACATAAATTAGCTATCACTGTAAAATCTTCCAGTTGAAGGAAAAATAAGGTGACTGGGGACTTACTAAGCAGTTTATTTATATAACTCAAATCAGGATTTCTCTTGTATGTTGTTGTTGTTGTTATGTGCCATCAAGTCAGCCTTGACTCATAATGACCCCACCTTGGGTTTCCGAGGCAGTATCACTACGGAAGTAGGATTGCCCAACCTTCCTTCAGGGGAGTGGCTGGTGGGTTTGAACCACCAGCCTTCTGGTTAGCAGTCAAGTGCCTTAGCCACTATGCTACCAGAGCTCCCTTCTCTTATATAGATATAATAAAAAATTTTAAAATTAAATGCAAAAGAAAGGAAAGGAATCCCACTACCCTAGTAAGCCATCTATTTTTTTTTCCTTTACTCTCTGAAAGATTACTGGACAAGGAATTAGATGTCAATTTTGGTTCTGGTTACAGCAATTGGGTAAGTCATTTACCATATCTATAAAATTAATTATAAAAGTTTCATCATACAGGAACTGAAAGTAATTTTAAATTTTCATAAAGGATAAAATTATTCATATAAATACTATATACAATGCAGTAAAATTCTATTAATAAAACTATCAAAATTATATGGTTAAAAAGAAATAATCGTGCACTTCCAGTAAGATGTCAGAATAGGCAGAAAAGCTACACAGATAGTCTTCAACAAAGAAAACAGAAACCAACTAACAGAGATACAGAAGATAATCCTGCAGCCCTGGGCTTTGAAAGGAAATATATAGAAGTGGATTAGGCACTTACTAGTAGAAAAACCTGAATGAAAACAGTGAGTACAGAGACAGACGGAGCTGCTGTCAGCTACTCTGATGGCACCAACAGCCTGAATATTTCCAAGTGGTGTTGGGACCTAAGAATTAACCTAAAGTTCAGTCCTGGTCGCCAAGGGCTGCAAGAATGATTGCATTAATGGCCGATGAATAAGAAGGGAAACAGCAAGGAGGGAGACAACCCGAGCTGTGGACTTTAGGCTGTCCAGAGGCCGCAGCCATTGTGATTGTTTACAAGCAGTGGCCATCTTGGATATTTAAAGTGACCCATGGCGCAATCATTTTAAAAGTTTACAAGCAGTGGTCATTTTGGATATTTAAAGTGACAGCATTCTCATTGGGATTGCAGGGACCTAAGAACAGGCTCCATTTGTCAAGGGCAGCAGGGACATATGGGAGACTGACAACGGGAAAGGAGACAAGTGGTGAGTATGTAAGTGCTGCCAACTAGCAAATAGAGAAGCACAGCACCCTGCTTACGTAGATAACATCCAAAGAAAACAAAAATCATGGGAAAGTCATTCCAACATACAATCACCAATTAAATATAAACACAAAAACGTCACATGTCTGTGAGACAACAGACCATCAAAGTCCACACAAAGAAGCAAGATAAAGCAGTAGAAACAAGAGACCAGGATGTTGTTGTTGTTATGTGCCGTTGAGTCAGACCCAACTCACAACGACCCCTCCTAGGGTTTCCGAGACAGCATCACTATGGAAGCAGACTGCCCAACTTTCCTTCCGAGGAGTGGCTGGGGGGGTTGACCCTCCAGCCTTCTGGTTACCAGTCAAGTGCCTTCGGCACTATGCTACCAGAGCTCCTAGAGACCGGGATACAAACCCAGAACACATACCTGAGGAAAAAGCAACACTGGAACTCCCTGATAAGGAATTCAAAAGAATTATATTTAGGTTCCATCATGTATCGAGAGATAGATCAAGGAAAACACTGAGAAAATTGAGGAAAACACAGAGAAAACCCTAGAACAATTTAGAAAGACAATACAAGAACAAAATGACAAAATAAATGAAAAATTAGAAATGATACAAAATCTACAGGCAGAAATCCAGAAGATTAATTAAATATT